TGGTACCTCAGGTTAAGAACTTAATTCGTTCTGGAGGTCCATTCTTAACCTGAAACTGTTCTTAACCTTAGCTAATGGGGCCTCCCACTGCCGCCGTGCTGCATGAGCACAATTTCTGTTCCCATCCTGAAGGAAAGTTCTTAACCCGAGGTACTATTTCTGGGTTAGCGGAGTCTGTAACCTGAAGCGTCTGTAACCTGAAGCGTATGTAACCCGAGGTACCACTGTATATACATTTTTGTAGGCAAGCTTTATCCAACATACTCATATTGGAGGGCAATTTTCCTTAATGTGAGGCATTTCCGTCAGTTATTTTCAAGCATGCTTTACCCTAGAATAAGAATTTTTGTCAACATCCCTTGGTTCGCGAACCGCATTGCAAAATTCAGAGAAGTGCAAGTTTGGAAGGGTGGCTTCATTCTGGTTTATGTATCATTTCAAGAAGTGCAAATTAAATCAGTTCCCATTAAAAGGTGCACTGGAACAAATTTCACCCATCTATCCGGTTGTCATCTAACAGCCCCTGTTGCCTACCACTGTCCCTGACCACTAGGCATGCTGGCCAGGGCAGGAGGGAGTTGAAGTCCTCCATCTCCCTGTTTAGCCCAAAGGGCGAACTCCAAACAGGAAAGAGTTAAATACCTCTTGGCACCCAGGAAAAAAACCCTCCTCACTATAGTTTTGTTTCTCTGTCTCTGGGGGCCGCTATGCAAAACAGCCTCCCTCACATTCCTCCGCTTGGCTAATCAGTTGCTACTGAGGGGGACGAAAACCTTGTATGTGCACACAGAAAACCTTTTGCATCAATGTTTGCAAAGAAAGCATCTCAAAGAGGTTATCTCACCAGGAGTGTTTATTCCTCATTTCATTTCCCACTTGGTTTCTCCAAGGCTGTGGATAGCTTGTTAGTCTAAGCAAAGTGGACTGGCATGGTTTCTTGGAAATGTTTTTCTGGGGGAAGGGAAGGGCTAGAATCAAAGGGTCACTGACAGCTGGAATGGATAACCAGGAGGTGTAGAGAACATATAATCTGCAGGCTGCTGTCTGACGTGATGAAGCACTAAATTGGGTTATGGGTTAAAACAGGTAAAAGGTAAAGGGACCCCTGACCATTAGGTCCAGTTGTGGCCAACTCTGGGGTTGCGGCGCTCATCTCGCTTTATTGGTACAGCTTCCGGGTCATGTGGCCAGCATGACTAAGCCGCTTCTGGAGAACCAGAGCAGCGCACAGAAACGCCGTTTACCTTTCCGCCAGAGCAGTACCTATTTATCTACTTGCACTTTGACGTGTTTTCAAACTGCTAGGTTAGTAGGAGCAGGGACCGAGCAACGGGAGCGCACCCTGTTGCGGGGATTCGAATCGCCGACTTTCTGATCGGCAAGTCCTAGGCTCTGTGGTTTAGCCCACAGCGCCACCCGTGTCCCTTAAAACAGGTAGTGGGATGCGATGTACGTACGCTTCAATCACATCCAAATAAATTAATAGAATTGTTAGTGAGCTGGGCTTCTGAAGAAGAAATCTCTTTCCGTAAAAGCTGTTTATCCCAAGTCTTTAAGAGAAATTTGTGAAAAAAAGAAAGAAAAAAGCAGCAAGCTCAAAAGGGGACTGATTTAGACGGGGTGGGAGTGAGGGTATGTTTGCCGGATGGATTTTGCAAAGATGGGGAATGTATATAACATGTTCCTGAGTCACCGAAAGGTTTTAGCATCCCATTCCTCTGATTCACAATTTAAACATAACCCAGGGATGTCTCATCCAGTGAAGGCAGATAATCTGGTTGGAATGTGCAACCTTTAAAGAATTCCTTGTCCCTACACATGACTATGGCAAAATCTGATGTGGCCAAAAGGCCCAATGAGAGTTCTCTTTTTTTATGATATTTATTAAAATTTCAAAAGGAAAAGATTACATTAAAAAGAAAATTAACAGTAAAAAGAAAAAATACAAAATACAAAAAAGAAAAACCAATTAGAAACAATTCCATCTTTTCATCACTTCTTTTGCATTTACTTGTTTCCCAGACCTCCTCATACCTCCCTCTTTTGTATTCCAATTCAATTTATTAGTCCAGCAATTCCTTTCCCTCCTTTTTAGTCCTGATCTTTAATCCTGATATATTATAACATTAAATTTTTAGAAATTAAAAACCAATTTTTCCATATTCTTTTATACCATTACCGCTAGAAACTGCTTAAGTTCAATCCGTCATCATTCTAACATTCATTAATTTTACAATATTTCTGTAAGTAGTCTTTAAATTTCTTCCAATCTTCTTCCACCGACTCTTCTCCCTGGTCTCGGATTCTACCAGTCATTTCCGCCAATTCCATATAGTCCATCATTTTCATCTGCCATTCCTCCAGTGTGGGTAGATATTGTGTCTTCCAATGCTTTGCAATAAGTATTTTGCTGCTGTTGTAGCATACATAAAGAAAGTTCTGTCCTTCTTTAACACCGATTGGTCGACTATGCCCAGGAGAAAGGCCTCTGGTTTCTTCAAGAAGGTATATTTAAATACCTTTTTTAGTTCATTATAAATCATCTCCCAGAAAACCTTAATCCTTGGGCACATCCACCAAAGGTGCAAAAATGGGCCCAATGAGAGTTCTCAACTCCATTCCACCTCGTGGTCTCGTGAAGCTGCTGCTGATTTGAGCAGGAATATTTCCTGCTCAGCGCCAAACCCACCAACTGCTAACTGCAGCTCAAGGGTAAGGCCATCTCTGTATAGCAGAGAGGAGGAACCCCAAGCCTGGGAACCAGATGCAACCTTCCAAGACTCCCTATCTGACCGGGACCGTCACGGCTTCTCAGTTTGTCACACAGAGTCCTGAATTCCCAAGGGGACTTCCCTTCAAGACAGTGTTTCAACATGTTACTGGAAGATCAGATCTGTGTGTCCCTCTAACACATTTCTTAGATCTATGGCTCCTGCTCCTTCACCCGCCTCCCCACTCAATAAACAACACTTCCTGTTTTTATGCAAACAAGATCCAGGTCACTCGATTGTTCTTTGCTGAGGGAGAATTATATGAAGATGATGTATAGATGGTATATGACACCAGTGCAGCTAGGGAAAACGTACAAAACTAGCTCAAATATATGTTGGAAGTGTAAGGAAAAGGAGGGGACTTTTTATCATAAGTGGTGGGATTGTAACGTGATTAAAAAAAATTGGGAAATGATATACAATGAATTGAAGAAAATGTTCCATCTAACATTTGTCAAAAAACCTGAAGCATTTTTGCTAGGGATTGTAGAGAAAGACCTGCCAAAGAAGCTGAAAAACATCTTCATGTATGCGACGACGGAGGTGAGAGTCATAAATAGCACAAGGATGGAAGACTGAGGAAACTCCGACGAAAGAAGTATGGCAAGAGAAACTGATGGACTATGCAGAATTGGCAAAATTGACACATAAACTACGGGACGAGGATAACTGTGACTTTAAAGATGAATGGGAACTTTTACAAAGTACTTAAAGACACAACAAAGTGAATTGGGCTCCTTTGCAGGTTTGGAATAAACGATCACAAACTTTTTATTGATAACAAACAGCTAGACAAATTAAGGATCTATAGAAATCTGTACCATGCAGAGAATAGCATTCATAGAGAAACCAGAGATTGGAACTGAGGGAAGTCAGGGTGGGGTGGGAGGGTGGGTTGTTTTATGGGAGGGGGGAAATGGGGGGAAATTAAGGATTATATGTTTTAAGATAATATGTTCTGTTTAAATTTCTAATAAAAAATCTATTATAAAAAAAAGATCCAGGTCACTTGAATGCCCCTAAGAAAGTCTCGACTCCGACTTGCTTTGGTCTGTCTCTGCACCCCCTTCCCTGGCCTCTGCAAAGGAAGATGCATGGGGGGGGACACTGATGCCGAATAGAATGTCCCTATTTTCATCTGGGAATGTTGGTGGATCTGAGATGTAGGATGGAGAGGGGTGGGTGTGAAGAAGCTAGCCTACTGCACAAAGATTAATATCGGATCTGTTGCTCCTCCCACTTTTGCCTCTGGCCCCGCCCACCACCACCCAAAGGGACTGTGGTCTTCAGGCTTCAGAAGATTGGATTCAAAAGAAGGCCCTGGGCTCCCTATTCCTGGTGTGTGGATTGAGGTGCCTTGGCAATACTGCTGGATCCTCAAGTTCAAGTTCCTCAATGCCTGAAGGAGCATCTCCACCCCCATCGTCCAGCCCGGACACTGAGGTCCAGCTCTGAGGGCCTTCTGGCAGTTCCTTCCCTGCGAGAAGTGAAGCTACAGGAAACCAGGCAGAGGGTCTTCTTGGTGGAGGTGCCCGCCCTGTGGAACGCCCTCCCATCGGATGTCAAGGAAATAAGCAACCATCTGACTTTTAGAAGACATGTGAAAGTAGCCCTGTTTAGGGACGTTTTTAATGTTTGATGTTTTATTGTATTTTTTATACAGTGGTACCTTGGGTTAAGTACTTAATTCGTTCCAGAGGTCTGTTCTTAACCTGAAACTGTTCTTAACCTGAAGCACCACTTTAGCTAACGGGGCCTCCTGCTGCTGCTGCGCCGCTGGAGCACGATACCTGTTCTCATCCTGAAGCAAAGTTCTTAACCCGAGGTACTATTTCTGGGTTAGCAGAGTCTGTAACCTGAAGCGTATGTAACCTGAAGCGTACGTAACCCGAGGTACCACTGTATTCTGTTGGGAGCCACCCAGAGTGGCTGGGGAAACCCAGCCAGATGGGTGGGGTATAAATAATACATCATCATCATCATCATCAATGCCTTGAACTGGTATTCCATTCTTTCAGCAGCAAGGAAAGTAGGAGTTTTGAGGTCTCCAAAGAGATGGAAGAAGCAGTTGGGAACAATGATTCGATCGCAATAGTTATAGACCTTGAGAATGTAAGAAGAGCCCATCTAGTCCAGCAACCTGTTCTCTCATTGGCCAACCAGTTGCCCCAATGGGAAGCCTCCAAGCAGGACCTGAATTCCACAGGGCCTCTCTCTCCACTTGGGATTCCCAACAGCTGATATTCAGAGGCACCTTTTCAATGGCAGTTGGAGGGAGGACATATTCTCCGTAAGCAGCGAGTGAGTGGTTCACTTCAATGCAAAGTCCCATGGGGGAAGTTCTCTGGTCTTCCCGACTCAGGATGGAAATGTTGTAATGTTCTCCACCCAGAAACTCTCCCCAAACGTTTCCTCTTGGGCTCAAGTTCCATGCAAACAGCCCATTTCAGATTATTTTTAGACTTCCTCTACTGGGCCCAGCTGGAAACCGGACACGAAAACACAGCTTCAAATGAAAGAGATGCTAAAGGAAGGATGGGGAGGCTGTGGTCCTCTGGGTGGTGTTGGACAGCAATTCCCATCAGCCTCAGCCCACATATCCAATGGTCAGGGATGATGAAAGATGTAGTCCAGTAAGATCTGGAGGACCACAGGTTCCCTCATCCGTGCCCTAAAAGGTAGACCCAGATTTCTCTCAGCCCTCCCCAAACCAGGATGAACTCAGTGAATAGCTCCTTCCAGAACATGGAGGTGGTGTCCACTGTTTCCTTCTCACCCTCCTTATCCTGGATACAACCCTGTGCTATACGCTAGGTGGTGGGTCCAAAGTTCACCCAAGGAGCTTCATGCCTGAGCAGAGATTTGAACTCAGGTCCTCCAGTCCCGGCCTGGCACTCTAACCACTGCACCACACTGCCTCTTCAGCTGAAGGGTGGGATGTTCTTTGGTGCTTATTAAGATTTGGGTTCCGGAAGGAATTACCTTGCTTCACCTTGGGCGATGTCTGAAGAATCCCTCAACTAGGGATGGATGTATTCGTCAATGTTGGTTTCCCTCCATTTCTCATTTCTTTCTAGGCTTAAGTTCAGCCCTTCACATTCTGAGACAGTGTTGTTGTTTTTAAGAATTTTAAGAAATTCACCAGTATTTTAGCATACATTTCCCCTGCCATACACATTTGCAAGGAATTTTGCCTAATTTACCATCTTTGCGGTGGGGGGTGGGGAGAGGCGATTTCCCTTCACCTAATGCATTTTTGCATGTTATTTTCACCCACAAAAACATTTTTAAAGGCAGTTTCTCCCCTCAGTGCACACATTTTTGTACATGTCATTTGCTCAGTGAACCGTATCACAGTTTGGAGAAGTACGTGTTTCAAAGGATGCCTGCATATTGATTCAGGTAACATTACACAAAGTGCGAATTAGGCAGAATAAAATAATGTAAAAATAATTAAACAGTTGACTAGTTTAAATCTTACTATTATTGCTATTATTATTATTATTATTATTATTATTATTATTATTATTATTTTCCTGTCTTCTTCTTTACAGACCAGGAAAAAGTAAAAACCATATGGATAAAATACAGAAAGCTGAAACACATAAAATATAAGAGTTAAAATGTAATTCAACTAGGACAGAACAGAAGAAGAAGAAGAGTTTGAATTTGATATCCTGCTTTATCACTACCCGAAGGAGTCTCAAAGCGGCTAACATTCTCCTTTCCCGCATTTGCCCTAGCGGACAAGCTCTCACTGGTTCCTACACACACAAAAGTGGGCGCTTCCAAGGCTCTCAGGTCCGTGTCCTCTGCCCAAATATACGTCATGAAGGTGCCAGGTTTTGATTGGTGGGGCAGTTCCCTTTAAGCCCCAATGGACCAGCCTCCCTCGCAATTTGGTCTGGTTACCAGTCACGACTGGTGATGCGTTCTCCTCCATCCCAGGCCTTCTCGCTTGCCTCCTGCTCTCTCCCGACCCCCTCAGGGCTCTCTCTCTCCGGATGTTGTGGCTGGTATTGTTTTCGAACTGTCTCGATTTCAGACTCCCAACTCCCTTTTGTGCTTGGACGGCCACCAGCCAGCATCATGTCATACCAAAGGCCGCACATGCAACACAGGATTTGGAGAGACAATGCTCCATTGTGGTCTGCAATCTGGAAGCGGCAGCTGCCGCTGCCCAGAACGGATGTCTCATTGCAGCATCAGTCGGACCCCAGAGATCTGTCTCTCAGAGTGCGACCCACTCCCACCCCCTGCACCAGCAAACACTTCCCATAAGTCCGTCTGGCTCATGATATCATTCCTGGAATCGACTTCCTTGGCCGAAATCTATCCTATTGAGGATGGGGAAAGAAAACAAAATTCCTTCTTCCTGAGGCTGTGCTGCTTTGGACAGCTCCTCCCACGCTTTCCCTGCAAGGCTTAAGGAGACACCTGCTCAAGGATCTCTGGCTAAATGGGTTCTCCAAACCCCAAAGGGTTTTGAGACTGTTCACACAGTGCATCGTTGAACTGTGGAACTCTCTCCCACAGGGACAGCTTTCAAAGAGGATTGGACAGATCTGTGGAGGGCAAATCTATCAATGGCTATCGTGATGGCTATGTTCTTGCCTCCATCGTCAGAGCCAGAGGTGCTTCTGAATGCCAGTTGCTGGAAACCGAAGGCAAGAAAGCTCCTGTGCTCAGGCCCTGTTTGCTGGTTTCCCCACGCACATCTGGGACGTGGGTGGCACTGTGGGTTAAACCACAGAGCCTAGGACTTGACGGTCAAAAGGTCGGCGGTTCGAATCCCCGCGAAGGGGTGAGCTCCCGTTGCTCGGTCCCTGCTCCTGCCAACCTAGCAGTTCGAAAGCACGTCAAAGTGCAAGTAGATAAATAGGTACCACTCCGGCGGGAAGGTAAACGGCGTTTCCGTGCGCTGCTCTGGTTCGCCAGAAGCGGCTTAGTCATGCTGGCCACATGACCCGGAAGCTGTACGCCGGCTCCCTCGGCCAATAAAGCGAGATGGGCACCGCAACCCCAGAGTCAGCCACGACTGAACCTTACGGTCAGGGGTACCTTTACCTTTACCTTTACCTTTACCACGCGCATCTGCTTGGCCACTGTGGGAACAGGATGCTGGACTAGATGGGCCATTGGCCTGATCCAGCAGGGCTTTCCTTATGTCCTTAAAAGTAAGTCTTCCTTATGGATTCAGCCTGGATAGATTCTGGGACATCTGAAGTCATTCCTTTCGTCTGGAGAAGAAGACAATTCCAAGCTGATCTTGGCTTCCCAGAGAAGCCTTGGGGAGGTGAAAGGATGTAGATAGTTGGGGTGCAAGCGTCACTCTTTTCTGTACACTGTTACCCTGTTACCAAGGGTTATGTTGGAGAAAAGGGCCATAGCTCAGGGGTAGGGAATCTGCTTTGTACGCGAAAGGTCCTCGATTCAGTCCTTGGCATCTTCACAAAGAGCTTGGAATGGCTCTTGCCTAAACCCCTGGATAGCTGCTGCCAGTCAGTGTAAGCATTACTGAACTGGATGGACCAATGGTCTCACTCACTGTTAAGGCAGCTACCTATGCTCCTGTAGCCCATTAAGTTTTGCTCAGAATAGACCCTTTGAAATTAATGAACCAAGGTTGGACATGCCCCTAAACTTCAGTGGGTCTACTCTGAGTAGGACTAGCATTCACCATAAGGTCCCAAGAAGGGGTTACAGCAATTTAAAAAGACAATGTGAAAAACAGTTTAGAACAAATGACAGTCACAGGAATAGGGTGGGTCCATATATATATATATATATATATATATATATATATATATCCCAGAAGACGAGGGTAAAGAGCTGTGTCTTCAGCATATGATGGTAACTATACAATGAAGGTGCCAAATTTACAGTTTTAAGGCTGCCACAGAGAACCATACCCCTCAACCATCCCACTTTGAGTGGGACATCCCAGGATTACAGAAGCTATCCCAGCTTCTGACTGGATCCCAGAATGTCCTGTTTTTTTGGTACGGCAATCTAGCGTGAGTCAGCTGGTTTACACCAGAGCACCGGACCAAAAGACACTTATTCTTTTGGTCATGAGCAAGACACCTGGCTCCTGCAAGAGCTCAGGACCAAAAAGCGAGCATCCTTATTTTGATCTGTGGGCTGTTGGAGGGTATGGAGAAGGTCCTCTCCCAGGTCACCAGCTCCTGAAATTCTCAGGGCAGCAGAGGATCCCCTCTGCTGATGTTAACACCCAAGAGGATCTGTAGGATCCACCGAGACCATATAACACCGGTCCTGAAAGACCTACATTGGCTCCCAGTACACTTCCGAACACAATTCAGTGTTGGTGCTGACCTTTAAAACTCAGTATAAGTGAAGGAGCCCCCATCGTTCAGCCCAGACACTGAGGTCTAGCACCAAGGGACGTCTGGTGGCTACCTCACTGTGAGAAGTGAGGTTACAGGGAACCAGGCAGAGGGCCTTCTTAGTAGTGGCTCTCGCCCTGTGGAATGCCCTCCCTTCAGATGTCAAGGAAATAAACAACTATCTGACTTTTAGAAGACATCCCTGTTTAGGGAAGTTTTTAATGTGTGATGTTTTATCGTGTTTTTAATATTCTGTTGGGAGCTGCCCAGAGTGGCTGGGAAACCCGGCCAGATGGGAGGGGTATAAATAATAATAATAATAATAATAATAATTCAGATAGGTGAGTCCTAAGTCTTTTTGCGTCATTTCCCCCTTTACAGTAAGTGTAGGGAACCTCAGAAAACTTCACAGAGGCCCAGATTATTTGCTCTCTTCTCCCAAATGCAGTTCAGTGCATAGAATCATAGAATTGTAGAGTTGGAAAGGATCACAAGGGAAAATATAAAGCAGGGTTACCCATTAAAGCCAGGAAGGGGGAATGATTGTTTCTTGTGTTGGAGATGCGTTGGCAGAAGGATGGATATTTTAATGCCTTTTACTGATGGTATGTAAACTTTTGTCTCTCAGGGGAATTGCTGTGGCCTCAGGTTGATGCAAGCCATTAGCTGGAGTTGACTCACCCCGTTCTGGATTCCTAACATGATAACCCTGGCACAGCCTTACCTGTGGAGATAACAGAGGAGCCATCCATCTCCCATCGAAGCAAGAGAATGGGAAGGTACAGGTCAGTAGCTGCAATGACAGGTGCTTTTAAGCTTCCATGCAGATATTTCCTCCCATGCAGGCTTGCGTGGCGAGTTCCCACCTCCCCCCTCAGAAATAAAGACACAAGACACAAGAATTAGAGTTAATGGGTCAAATTAGACCACAACTTTATTGATTACAGGAATTGAGTGGTGTTGGCTTAGGCATTGGTCCTAACGACTAACCGGCTTCAGCCCGCTTACATGAAGACCGGTGAGGGTTAACCACCAGTAGGGGGAGTCCTGCTGAGGCACGTCAACTAGGAGCGCCCCCTGGAGTTCCACTTGGGGACGTGCCATGGGCCCACACCTCCACAGGCTTAGGACAAGGCCACGCCCCCCGGAATCCTTTACCGGACTACCCTTATGATTGGGGGAAGGTGATGGCGCTTCCTTCCCCCCCTTCATCTGCACAACAATAGAACAATACCCCTAACAATGCCTAACCGCCAATACTGAGGAGTTGTGACGGATTGCTACGAGGTAGGCGAAAACCAAGTGGCTGGAGCCAATCTGCCAAGTGGAGAAATTCCTACCAGGCCCCTTGACGGCGACCAGCCAAAGCCCATAGCAACATCAGGGAGCCTAACCTAAACTAAAGGGTGGGCAGGAGGGGGAAAAACCCTGGCTGGCTGCGGCGCGGGAAAGAGGGAGACCATCGGCCGCGCCAGACCTAAATGTGGCGAGGCTACGCCCCCCCAGCCCAGCCGATTGGCTGGACCGGGAATGATGCGTCCGAGGATTGCCTGTTATCGCGGCCAGCGCCCGCGATCGTAGGGTGGGGCGTGAGCCCGCAATCCCACCTCCCAAGCTCGGAAGTGGCTTTTTAAAGTGGATGGGAGAGGAGGCTCAGACTAGTTTTGCCTAATGTACCTAATGTAACAGGAAGAGGGGAATCTGTGGTTCTTCAGATGTTACTAGACAGATCCACACTATACATTTAATGCACATTTGAAGCTACATAGAATGAAAGGGTTTAAGGTCAGTGAGAAAGAGGAGGATTGGTTTGAGAAGATATTGAATTATTTGGGTAGGTTTGAACAATTTGGGGCAATTAAAATGTTAAAAGTGTACATATGGTTGATTTGAATATGCTATTATTGAATACGTATATTAGTGAATATGTATATTATTGAATATGTATACCCAATGTATCAGCCGCTTGGGGGGTTTCACTGTTTGTGTTTTGGTGGTTGGTAAAAAATAATTTTAAAAAAAAAATAATAATGCACATTTGAAGCATATGACTTGCCTCAAAGAATCCTGGGAACTGTAGTTTGTTAAGGGTGCTGGGAACTGTAGCTCTGTGAGGGGTAAATTGTAATACCCAGGATTTGGGGGGGGGAGTCAAATGCCTTGCACCCCAAGTGCTGTTGGTTTTTTCCTGGCTGGAATGTGGCCCTGAACTCAGATAATGTCTCTTGCTTGTCAGGATGGAAGACAGAGAGGGGTGTGAGTGTGTGTGTTGAAACTAGTCTACTGTGCAAAGGATAAAAATTATGGAATCGTAGAGTTGGAAGAGACCCCAAGGGTCATCTAGTCCAACCCCTGGCCTTGTAGGAATCACGGCTTAATAATAATAATAATAATTTTTATTTATACCCTACCCTCCCTGGCCAGAGCCGGGCTCAGGGCAGCTAACACCAGTAAAATTACAGTAAAAACATAATAGGGGGGGAACCAATTTAAAATACAGGTTAAAATGCAATTTAAAATGCAGCCTCATTTTAAAAGTAGCCCATAGATCAAAACCATAAGGGGAGGGAAACATAAGGGTCAGACTGAGTCCAAACCAAAGGCCAGGCGGAACAGCTCTGTCCTGCAGGCCCTGCGGAAAGATGTCAAGTCCCGCAGGGCCCTAGTCTCTTGTGACAGAGCGTTCCACCAAGTCAGGGCCAGTACTAAAAAGGCCCTGGCCCTAGTTGAGACCAATCAAACCACCTTGCGACTTGGGACCTCCAAAATGTTGTCATTTGTGGACCTTAATGTCCTCCGCGGGGCATACCAGGAGATGTGATGATGTTCCACCAACTTTTGCCTCTGGCCCCCCACACCACTAGTATGGGGCCTCTGGAAGGTTCCCCAGAAGGCACTGCGGCTCCCATCTCATTCCCTGTGTGAGTTGGGTCTTAAGAGGCCTTTGCTCTGCTGCCCGCCCTTGAGCCCGTAGCTCAGTGGTGGAACATCTGCTTTGCATGCTGAAGGTCCCAGGTTCGAGCCCCAACATCTCCAGGTAGGGCTAGGAGAGAGAACACGGGTCTAAAATCCTGGAGAGTCACTGCCAGACAATACTGAGCTCCACGCGCCACATCCCTAATCTGATGAAGGCAGGAGATTGAAAAACAAACAAACGAGCAAGTGGAAAACTGAAGTCCGTTGTCACACACACACAAAAAAGTCACCTTCCTAGATGTCACGTCGCTGGTTTTCTCAACCAGTTTAGGCCTCCAGGGAATTCTTGGCAGCTTTCGCTTTCAATTTGCCCACATCCTCATCTGGCCCTGGAGAGGGTGGAAATTCTGCTGAGCAGCTTCAACAGGAGTGGGAGAGGGGGAACAGTTGGATGGGTGGGTAGACTACAAATGACAAGGAACTGGGTCATGGCCAAACGGAGAGGTCAGCAGTGGAGATACAGGAGAAATCCAGTTCTGTATGGTTGTGCTGGGCCCAGGGGTAACCCGAGAACCACAGTCCGAGTCCATTCCAGAATCCAAAGATTCTGCTAGGAGTCAGTCTGACAGGGTCAAGGCACAAAATCAGGCAAGGACAGGTACAGGATCTCAGACCAGATCTTGCATACAGCAATGTTGCTCCTGCAACCTGGGGCGGGGTCCGACAGCCTTTTATCTTTGTCGGGGTAACGGCCGGTCCTAATCCCCCGGCGACTCACCTCCCTGTTTCGCCCAAAGGCGAGCACTCCTCCTGCGAGTACTCAGGTCTCTCCTTCTCTCAGACCTCGGTCTCTGCAGCTCAGGAGACGTTGGTGGGTTACTAGACCCAGGGGCCGCCTCAGCCTCCCCTGACCAAACTGGTAGTGGATCAGCTGTAAGTGATGGCCCAGCTGAAGGCAACGAGGTAATCCCCGCATCTGGAGCCAGGGCAGTGTCAGGCTCAGCTGGTGCTTGTTGCAGGGGGACCTGTGTAGACTGGGACTCTTCAGGGTCAGGCCCCAGACTTGGTTCAGGTGATGCCTGAGGCAAAGGATCCGGTGCAGACTGAGACTCCTCTGGTTCCGAGTCCGAGCCCGAGTCCCAGGCCATCACAATGCTTCAACTTATGGATAATCCATACTTTCATACAATACTGCACTTAGAGAGTTGGACTAGGACTTGGGGCACCAAGGTTTCAATCCTCTCAGCCTAAGCTCACCTCACAGGGTTGTTGAACCATGATGAACCATGCACACTATCTTGAGCTCCTTCGAGGAGAAGGTGAGATACAATAAATAAATAGTAATAATAAAATATATCAAGGTGGCTTACGAAACATACGAAATCGGTCAATAAATGTCTGGGAAACATTATGCAAAACATCAATAAAGCATCCATACCAATTTATATGATGGGAACTTAGGGTTAGCCATGCCGGATAACATCAGTGGGTCTACTCTGCGTAGGACTGGCACTGGATGCAACACTTTTTTGGGTCTGTTTAAAAGCATTTCTAAACCGCTTAATATTTCAGAATCCTTAAGCGGTATGCAAAAACACCGCCACAAAGCTTCAATGGGTCTGCTCTAAGTAGGGCTAACATTGGATACAACTCTGTTTCTGAATTTGAATCTCTGTATGTGTGCTAACTTGGGGTCACTAAGTTATGTTGGCTCAATTAGTGCTATCCAATGTTAATGCCACGCAGAGTAGACCTGCTGAAGTTAATGGGCAGCATGGGTGGCACCATGGGTTAAACCACAGAGCCTAGGACTTGCCGATCAGAAGGTCAGCGGTTCGAATCCCTGCAACGGGGTGAGCTCCCGTTGCCTGGTCCCTGCTCCTGCCAACCTAGCAGTTCGAAAGCACGTCAAAGTGCAAGTAGATAAATAGGTATCGCTCTGGAAGCTGTACGCTGGCTCCCTCAGCCAATAAAGCGAGATGAGCACCGCAACCCCAGAGTCGGTCACGACTGGACCTAATGGTCAGGGGTCCCTTTACCTTTACCTTTAACATAGACCTATTGTTTCAATGGCCTATACTCTAAGTAAAACTCAGTTGGAAGTCAGCCCATTTTGCGAACACCACACCTTGGATTTAGCTTTCGCAGGGGTAACATCGGCAAGGAAGACATTTGGTTTCTCCTTAGAAAGATGTCAACAGTGAGGCTGCTGGAGACCTAGACATGGCCCCACAGCGCCACCTTGAGGTATGGTGTGGACTTCCTCAAGGATGACCATGTCCACTTTCAACTTGTAACTGTGTTGATGTTCAAAAACAGGTTATAATGGCTGCTTTTTTCTGTTCAGGTACAATCCCAGAGCTACCTGGCATGCCAAAGACAGAATCTACAGCATACCTTCTAACATTTCTCTGATGAAAATAGGTAAAGGTAAAGGGACCCCTGACCATTAGGTCCAGTCATGGCCGGCTCTGGGATTGCGGTGCTCATCTCGCTTTACTGACCGAGGGAGCCGGCATACAGCTTCCAGGTCATGTGGCCAGCATGACTAAGCCGCTTCTGGCAAACCAGAGCAGTGCATGGAAACACTGTTTACCTTCCCGCCGGAGTGGTACCTGCACTTTGGTATCTACTTGCACTTTGACTTGCTTTCGAACTGCTAGGTTGGCAGGAGCAGGGACCGAGCAACGGGAGCTCACCCCGTCGTGGGGATTTGAACCACTGACCTTCCGATCGGCAAATCCTAGGCTCTGTGGTTTAACCCACAGCAACACCCGCGTCCCCTGATGAAAATAGGGGCGCCCTATTCAAGAAGAAGAAGAAGAAGAATTTTGCAATTTATACCCCACCCATCTGACTGGGTTGCACTATGGGCAGCTTCCAACCTATATAAAAACATAATACAGTGGTACCTCTGGTTACAAACTTTATTCGTTCCAGAGGTCCATTCTTAACCTGAAACCGTTCTTAACCTGAGATACCACTTTAGCTAATGGGGCCTCCTGCTGCTGCCGCTGCGCTGCCGCCGCATGATTTCTGTTCTCATCCTGAGGTAAAGTTCTTAACCCAAGGTAATACTTCTGGGTTAGCGGAGTCTGTAATCCGAAGTGTTTGTAACCATTAGGCTTTAAAAAAAACATCTTCCCTACACAGGGCTGTCTTCAGGTGGCTCAGGGGTCGGATAACTCCATACCTGCCAACATTTCAAGGATAAAATAGGGACATCCTACTGTACCCTCTATGCAATCTCTATAACAGAATGTATCCTCCTTTCTTTCTTTTTTTAAATCATTTTTATTTGATGTTACAAATACGAATTTATAGCATTCCAAATTCATATCCACATATAGACATTACTCTGAATCTCGAGACTTCCCCCCATCCCCTCCACGGTTCCTATTGTCAACATTTGCAAATGCATATATTATTCCATATCCTATATTTTATATCAATCCATATTGTCCATAGTAGTTGTTTCAAATCCTGCTAATGTTTCCATCTGCTTGCAGTGGTCTCCTAGATAAGTTATACATTTCCCCCATTCTTTTTTAAAAGTTTTCGTCCTCTCGGTTCCTGAGTTTTCCAGTCAGCTTTGCCATTTCAGCTTAGCTTGCCATTCCTCTCTGGTAGGGGCCTTATCTTCTTTCCATCTCTAGGCTAGTAGCATCCGAGCAGCAACAATATGTATCCTCTTTTAATGCTGATGGTCTTTCCAGTGGCGGAGCTTCATGCTCCAGCACCGGGGTGTGTGGAGAGCATGTGGTGTCGGGCTGGTGCGCATCCATGGGGTGCGCGTCCTGGGGCGTGGCACACCGCCTGTGGGGGCGTGGCACCCAGCACGGGCAGGGGGGCAGCCACGATGGCACCACTCTGGGATCGCGCTGCCAGGGGCGGTGCGCTCCCCCCGCACTCCTCTTCCTCCGCTAGTGGGTCTTTCTCCAGGAAGCCATAGCAGTTGTCTGCCCAAACCACGCCAATCCCTTAACCAATGTTCTGGGGCCTAACCATCTGGCAGTCAGCTCCTGAGGCTCACTCTGCCCTCCCCAATTTCTGTGATGGACAGTTCCTGCTGGGGTTGAGTCATGATGCTGAATCTTGAATATTGCATCAATGACATGAACCAGCTCAGCAAGGTTCCATAGGGCCCCCCTTGGGTCTGAGGGTTAAAAGCACCATCTGTTGAAGAGGCAGAATGTCAAGTTCATTGGTCAGGATGGCCTAAGAGATCTGGCCTCATAAAGGAGTAATGAAAGTTTGATCCCCAGCTTCTCCCACACAGATTTTCCCAGCAAAAATCAAATTCAGGGGTGTCTGCATGTGTGTAGTCTAGCATTTCCCAACATGGCGCCCTTCAGATGTTCTGCACTACATCTCCCAGCAGTTGACTGAGGCTGATTAGAGTTGTAGTCCAAAATATTTAGAGGGTGTCAGGTTGGCACAGTCTTAATTGCTTGATGCAATTGAAATTATGTACCACTGTAAATCCATTTTCCCTAAAGGCCCTTACAGCACAAGCTCTCCCCATAATCTTCCACTCTACCCATAACCAAGAATGTGCATCTGTCCTTTAGAAACACTGAATCACAAGTGTCAGTGGGAGTTATTTGTGGGGGACCAGTGCCCTGACAGAGAGAAGCAGCGCTCCCATGTGGCATGGCATGGTGGATCAAGGACCACACAAAGCGCCTCTGGTGCTTTGTGATTCATATATATATGAGAATTCCTGGATGCCAAGATCCAAGTTTGGAGCCAGTACTCTTTGGTGAAAGAACCCCAGCAGAGATTTAAAGTCACAAAATATGCAGCAAAGTAAAGTGTGGAAATAGACTGTTAGACCTTTATGTGGCACTCCAAATGAGTTCCAAAATTCCCCCTGGAAAGTTTCTTTCCAAAGCTTCCCTCTTCCCCCAGCATAGGAAAAAGACCACACAGTTAGTAAGTTAAAAAATGCTTTACTTACAAACTCTGCAAAGGTCAGGTTCATAGGCTTCAGAAAAGCTGCACAGGCAGTAAAACTCAGCTTAGTTACAAAGTGGTGAAAGATCCTAGATTATCGGTATAGGAACTCATTGAGTGGCTTGTGAGAGCCATGCGGCTGAGCTGGAGCAACCAACTCAAGCCATGTGCTTT